CAACCAAGCTAGTCGCAGAAAGCCAGCGAGGAGGAAGGGAAGGGAAGGGGAAAACCCACCCGGCACGCTTTTAGACCGCCTTGGCCCCAGACACCGTCTACCCAAGCGCAGCAGCAGGACAAGAGCCCAAGGGAGAGAAAAACTTGGCCGGGCGAGCAAGTTTAAGATCCTTCAGACTTCAGAACGCTCGCAAGCAAATCATCACTTCTCTTCTCCACTAGCTACGTTGCCGCGTTCTCGTCCAGCGCTCTCTCGTTTCGTCAACCACACACACACACACGCACCCCCCCACCCCCATGATCGTGCCAATGCAAGCCCCTCGACGGAGACAAACCCTCCCACGAGATGCAAGGGGCCAAGACCTGCACGACAGCATCCGTCCAACCAATTGTCATTCGTGATCCATCAGGGCGCCCCCCCCCCCTCGACTTCTCGAGGAGTGATCCCCCCCGCCCATCACCATCCGTCCTACTCTACCTAAGGGACAGTAGGTGCTCCAGTTGCTGTACTGTAGTGGCCTGCTCCCCCCACTGGCCTCATCTCGAGTGCGTGGGTTGCCATGGCCACCAACCAGCCCTGCTGCCGACAGAACAGAGGCCCGAACCCGCCACTCTGCACGCTGGCACACGCCCCTTCGGCGCGGATCGGGGGGAACTGCCCTCGTCTGTGTGGCCGTCCGCCCGGCCGTACCCGTCCCGTGAGAGGTTGAGCGGGCGGTGCGTGCCAGGCTTTCCGCCGCGGCGCCTTCAAAGTCCGGGTAAGAAGAAGAAGAGGGGGGGGGGGATTACGTGGACCAGGACGAATGTTCTTGCTAGCACCACGTACAGCTGTCTTGGTTTCGTGGCGGGCCCTTCTCGTTCGTGCGAAACTGAATCAGCCAAAGAGGGGCCCTTTGGGCGTGTGTTCGAGGTGGGAGAGGACTGCGGGCTCGGCTGATCTGACTCCCTCGTCCTGCAGCAGCTGTTGACTTTGTTGACGGAGAACGTGATGCAGGGTGATTCCGTCATTGTGCGATGGCACCTACCAGCCCATGCGCAGAATGAATGTGCCGCCACTGTCTGGCTTCGTAGGCATGTGCGGCCCGCATGGCGTTCGCTCTCTCTCTCTCTCTCTCTCTCTCTCTCTGTCGTCCTATCAAGGCCAAAGGGAGCCGCATCACGACAGTCTGACCCAGACAACCCTTTCGGATGCTTTCTGCCAGCAAGTGGCATGTTTGCATGTGCCTGTTGCTACATCGGCACTGGACCCGAAACACGCTGCATGCTGCTGCTGCCAACCATACATCAGACACGGGCACACGAGACCGACCACTGGGTGAAAAAGCAAAAGAAATTGATGACCTATGGAAAGGTGTAGGTTCACGCACGCGCGCAAAACCCCTAATGATTCGCGCAACTCCCTTTTTTGTGGCGTCCCTCCCCGTTGCAGAGTGGGAAAGCTGGAGAAAAAAACAGTTTCGACCAAAGCCATCCTTTCCGAGCAGCCGAGTCCAACCAGCTTCACTTTCAGATGACCAACACAAGAGAAAGAAGAAGAGAATGTCCCTTGGTTTGCTCCGTCCAAACCGTGTGATGCTCGGTCTGATGGCGTAAGACGACAGGACCGCGAGAAAGGTCTGTCTCGCTGTTCACCTGCTTTTGTTTCACCTACACAATCTGTGCCTGCCTGCCTGCCTGCCCCTTTGCTGTGATTGGCGCGAGTGGATTCGCTCATGGCAGCAAGATTCTTCCCCCCTGACGGTTTTTGTACATGTTGAACAAAATATCGTGCGCATTCATACCAATGGCAATTATGGTGTGCGTTTTCGACGATGTTGGATGTGGGGATTGTCGGTTCCCTGTGGTGTGCCATTCCACATTAGCTGCTTAGACGTCCCACTCGGTCTCCTCCTCCTGGGCGTTGTCGTCGACCTTGGAAGACAGAGCGGAGAAGGAGCCGTAAGACTGGCTGGCCTTGGCCGAGTTGCTCTTGTTGACGATGGGCTGGGGAACGGGCCTGGCCTCCTTGGGGGGAGCGCTGGGGGGAGCGGGCGCGGCCTCCGTGTCGCTGCCCGGGGACTTCTTGGCCTTCTTGGACGACTTGGTAGGGACAGTGGCCCACTCGTCATCCTCCTTGATCAGCTCGATCTGCTCCTCCTCGGACAGGGCCGAGGCCTTCCAGCCATCGGTCTGCTTGTTCTGCGCGGGAGCGACACTGGCGGCGGTGCCGTTGGTGGTCGTCGTCTCGAAGGTGTCGAGGGGCTGGACGTCAATCGTCTCCTTCTGGCCCTCCTGCTGGCTGCCGGCCTTCCAGGCAGACTTGCCGCCGTTGGTGGCGGCCATGAACTGGGAACCGTCCTTGGCAGGGATGCCGGCGGCCTGGCGGGCACCGCGGCGCTGCTTCTCCATGGCAATCTTGCGCAGCTTCTCCTCCTCCTCACGGACGGCCTTGCGCTCCTCTACCTTGCGGCGGTTCTGACGCTGCTTCTTTGTCTCGACGGGCTCGGCAGCCTTGGCGACCTTGGGCTTGGACTTCTGCTTATCCGTGTCGGTGAGACGAAGGACGAAAGGGCCGGGAGCAGAGGGCTCGAGCATGTCGCTGACGCCGCTTGCCGTCAGCAGTCTTGACCACAGGGGAGCGGTCGTCATCGGCATCGGCGTTGGAAGAAGATGACTCCTCGGCAGGGGCCTGCTCGGGGACGGCAGGCGTCAGCTCAATAGGGTGGGCGACTTCAGAAGGCTCGGCAGCGAGGCTCTGCTTGACCCGACTTCTGCTTATTGCTCTTCTTGCCGGCATCCGCCTTCTTGCCGGTGAACTTGACGCCCTCCTGGACACCAGACATTTGTCTCGCAAACGCCTTGTTGTCGGCATCCTCGTCACGCTCTTTCTTCTTCGAGATCGTTGCAGCAGAGTTGTCACGTGGTGTCTCGTCACGGGGTGCGTTCTGGGCAGCCGTGGCGTAGGCCTCCTGACGCTGCTTCTTGGCGCGGTTGCCCTTCTTTGGAGGGCTCCAAGGCACCTGGGTGGTCTTGGAGGGCGCGCTGACGGGCTTCTGCTTCTGGTAATAGTTGTAGCCAATGGTGCCGGCGATGGCGAGGACCGTAGCCCAGCCGCCCACAAAGGAGGGGGTGAGGAATTCCGAGGAAGACATGATGACCGTGATGTGAAGCCCGAGGAGATGAAATGCCGATCAAAGACCAGCGAGATGAGGGACCGGCGTGATTATTGCTTCGGTGCAGACAATCCAAGGGGAGAGTGTGCTCGGTGAGGAATGGATCGGGAAGAGAGCTTGATGGAAATGCGTCAAAGCTTCCACGGGAAGGACCAAGCTTTGCTGGTTCAATTGAAGTGCTCGGTTCGGATAGAGACTGGATGAATCAAGGCTGGTTAACGGACTGCTCAATAAATGAGGTGATGAAGAAAGTCTGAGGTTCAAGACAGCTGGCGCGTGGAAAGGGGAAGTGAAGCATACAGGGGTAGACGACCGGGGAGGCAGCTCTTCCAAATAAAACCCCAGACTGGCGATGGTGCTCTTGGGATAGTGGACAAGCAACGATTGTTTGGGTCAAGGGGAGGGAAATGGATGATGTGCAGCAGAGGATGTGATGCTTCGTAGTTGATGGAGCGAGACGTAGTGTTGAACCACGGATCGGCGAGAGGAGGCAAAAAAAGCTGAGGTGATCGAGTACTTACCAGGTGGCTTCAGTGACCGGATAGCTGCCAGCCAGGGGATGGACGTGCTGTCTGTGGAGAAAATTGGAGGGCCTGCAGGGCAGTGCTGTGCGTGAGGTGCGTGGTGCGTCGGGGTTGAGGGAACGAGAGGCAGGGTCACACTACCGATGGAGCACGATGAGAGGTTGTGGGTCGTGGGCGTGGTGGAGCGGCTCCGTTGTTAACACGTTACCTCCTGGTTATCGATAGGAGAGATTGAGGTTCGCGATGTGCTGATGATTCAAGGGGCCAATGATTGGCTGGGGGACATGCGATTCACGTTGGCACGATGGAGCAAGCAGAGAACGATGTTGTCAGGTTTCGATGCACGACGAGATGAAGGATCATGGTGCATGGTGGGATAAGATCTTTGCGGCAGGGCAGCATTTCCTCGCTGACCGCAGTTGTAGTATTCCCTAATGGCCATTTGATTGCAGCTTCCAGCGGTATCGCTGGATCGAGGAGACCACATCACGTGAAAGATGACGTTCTCTAAACGCTAGTCCTGTTTCAGACACAGCTCTTGACAGCCTAACAATGTGGTCTTCCCACTTTGGGATTAGCTTCTTGTTCCTTCTCAAATTTATTGTCACAATCGGTCCCCACCCAAGTAGTTCTGCAAACGGTATGGAATCAACACACCGAGGTCACCCAGCCGACACACCGAGCTGAGAACATGCAGACCAATGGACGTGACCAGTCAGACCAGTGTTGCATCTTGACACCTTCACAGCATTCATGAGATTCTTTTAATCCCTCGAGTGCCTTTCTTTTTGTTTTTTCTTCGACTCGCAAAATCCGCTGCCAGGTGATCCGATGCTCACTTTTGTAAGAATGCCTCATTGGGTTTAACCCCACCCCTCTGGCGTCGAATATTCCAGGCTTAATCCACCCCACCATTACTTACTCAAGGAGGGGAAGGGCAAGAGGGGTCGCTGCTTGGAGAACCGTGGAAGACGGGGAACACCACGATTGACTGCTCGGCTTTGAAAGCTCGATAAGCCGACACATCGGCCAGCTCCGCTACTTGCAAGTAGTCATACTTTGCTCTTAAGCCTCGTGCCTCTTCACCTCAACCTCTTGTAGTCACCAGTCTTCACGTCTCGGCCATTCTCTGGATACCACTACATCTTTTATTTTTGCTTGTCGATATTCTTTAGACGCTTTTTCAAGATGGCTCCCAACCGCATCATCATCGACACTGACCCGGGTACGAAAAGAGTGAAAACCTGTTGGCTTGGCATGAGACTCACATGTTGATAGGCGTTGACGATGTTCTGGCGATGCTTCTTGCCCTTTCCGTCAACCCTGACGAACTCGAGGTTGCCATGATCTCCGTCACATACGGCAACGTCGAACTTCAGAGGTCAGTAGCCCAGGAGGTTGGCCCCCAGAAGACAAGGCAAGCTTTTGGATGCTGATACGATGGGCAGCTGCCTCAAGAACGCGGTTGCGCTGTTCCACGTGCTGGAGAAGGAGTTGATCTGGCGCAAGGAGAACGGCAAGGCCGAGAACTTTGGCACCCTGAAGACGCACAAGCCCATCATTGCCGTTGGCGCCGAGCACCCCCTGGAGGATGACCAGCTCATGGCTGACTACTTCCGTAAGTCCTCACGGCATCGACATCTCAAGAAGGCCGTCTCAGGCTGACTGACATGCGCAGACGGCGTCGACGGCCTGCACGGCGTGCACACCGAGCACCCCCACCTCGATGCCGAGGATACGTGGAAGAGCCTCTTCCACAAGGACTCGGCCACCCTGGACCACGATCCCTCCCCCTACTCCAAGTACTTCACAGCCTCCAAGGAGCCGGCGCACAAGGAAATCCTCCGCCTGCTGCGCGAGAGCCCCAAGGACACGCTCACGCTGATCGCCGTTGGCCCCATGACCAACTTTGCTCTCGCCGCCGCCGAGGACCCGGAGACCTTCCTCAAGGCCAAGGAGGTCCTCGTCATGGGCGGCGCTGTGAACGTCGAGGGCAACATCACCCCCGTCGCCGAGTTCAACACGTACGCCGACACGGTCGCCACGGCCCGCGTGTTCGCCCTCACCTCGCCCTGCCCCAAGTCCACCATGCCCCCGCTCTCCCAGACGCGGTCCTCGCTGCCCGCGTACTCGGAGAAGCTGTCGCG